ATATCAGAAATATCAACCATTTTGGTGAAAATCATATAAAGATGAATTTATTGTAGATCTGAGTGTGATTTAAAAAAACCAACGGAGAAAAGAAATCCTGTGAAAAGTCAAAAGAGAAAAAGCTTCAAGTCCGTGAATTTAAAAAAGAATCAAGAATGATTTTCAAATATTTAGTTTTCACAGAAGTCAGATATTACAGAATGTACATAAGAGAATAAATAAGATCGAAGCCGACGTGTTGGTGGTTAAACGGCCGAGATGAAATATCCGTGAAGGTCCATGTGGATGCTGGCGGGAATCGAGGCCCGGGCGACTTCCTCAAAGTTCTTGGCGTTGAGGATGAGCATGAACGGAGAAATGTTGGGATCTGGAGAGATGACGGACGACAGGATCACTCCTGAAGATAGAAAACAGAACCAGAGAGTGAACGATGGTTTCTGATGGTTAAGCTGTTGTGTTTTACGCTGTAGTGAAACTCTCACCGTCGTCTTCCTCCACGGCCCCTGGAGACGCCACAAACACCGGTTCTGAGGGGAAGCAGTTGTCCTGCGTCCACTCCACGTGTTCCCGGGTGACGATGTCGACCTTGGCGAGCTGTCGGACGACATATTTAGACGAGAACCAGAAAGTGAGGTTGTCCTGTCGACAGGTTTTCAGTCAAAACGTTTATCTGAGGATTTAACCAAACGCTCTTGTCTCACCTTGTTGGGATGAGGAGAAAACTCCACCCTGGAGCCGTAGAAGTATCTGTACTTCCTAGTGTTGTAGCTGTAGTTGATTCCTGGCAGCTCCAGCCCTGAGAAGTGATCACACACGTTAGACTGTGAACATGAAGTTCAGATCAGACCAGCTGAGTTGGGGGCGAACCTTGGAAGATAAGGTCGGGCCGACAGTAGACGGATCCGTCCTCCTGCACCACCGCCTGGGCCGTTGTGTCCGTCAGCGTCACCAGGTTTGTTCCTCTGGGAGATTCCTACAAAACCAATGGACACAAACTCCTCATGTGGACGTGAAACTCGGAAGGACACAGTGTGAAGTGAGAATCCTCTGTACGCTGTATGTTTGAGGAGGCCTCTGTACCTTGTGGGCGCTGAGCGGCAGGACGAACCTCTGGCAGGTCGGTGGAGAGAAGCTCTGGTTGGACTGGATGAAGCTGCTGGCCGCTTGTGTCATGTTCTGGATGTAGAACATGTCGTACAGGTTGCTGTCTTTGTAGGTGATCAGGTCGAACACCACGTGGTCGTCGTCCTCGTAGGCGTTGATGTGGTGGAAGACCACCAGGGCGTCGCTATAGAAACGGGTTCTCACCGCCCTGCCCGTCTTTCTGTTGACGACGTGAAACAGTGTCTGGGAAAGAAGAAGAAGAAGAAGAGGTGGGCGGGACAACAATTTAACCTTTAGGTGTTTCTAAGAACCGCGTGGTTCTAAGATCTACAATTACTATTTAAGAATCATTGATCAAGTCACAAATATAAGGGACAAAGAATTGAACCCTGAGGAACGCCACCAGGACTTCCTGTTGACACTGGGTTTGTTTTGAGGCTAAATGCTCGCTCATGTCTTTGATTGGTTCCCGTCACCTGCTGCTCGTGCTGCGAATGGGTTTAAATGAAATCGCCGTGGGAACACTCACGATGTCATCCTTGTCGAATTTGAGGCAGCTCCCCCAGTTGACTCCTCTGAAGTAGGCGGTGGCCAGTCTGACGATGTCCAGCTTGAGCGGCTGCTCCACGAAGATGATGTAGTTCTCGGTCATGCCGAAACTGTGGAAGTAGCTCGGGGACAAAGTGGATCGAAAGGGAATCGAACAAATCTTCTGCACTTTCCTCAACGCCGGCTTGTTTCGCTCTTTATCTGAAATGGAGAACTCATTCTTTATTATTCTCCTCGTCACATGGGAAACAGAATGTAAACACGCGGACAGAAAGGACAATGTCGCAGTTCTGTTCACTAACTATTTGTGTGTTGACGTAGCGCTGAGCCTCTATTTCTGTGGTCAGGCCGTTATCATGACCTCACATCTTATCATTCACATTTCTTCAGCTGGATGTGTTTGGTTTCACGATGAATGAACGCTGAGACGATTCGCTGCCTACATTTCTAGATGAATCACTTTGTTGCTCAGACTTTTCAACCTTTGGCTTTAAACCAAGATGTAGAGAATAAGACGTTACAGGCGAACAGTTTTTCTTTTCACGTTCTGATGCTGAGACTTTGAGTTGTGTGAGAATGTGTGTGAGAAACGTTCCACAGGAAACATCGGTGCAGTTTGTCCCGTGTTGTATACTCTTCATATATAACCTGAAAGGGGGACGTCAGATAACCTTCTGTAGAGTCAGTCGTCCAGTGACCTTTGACCCAGGTTACTATCATCGTCTGCACGCAACCATTCTCATGCCACAGTTTGACTTGGCATCGCTGGTTCCATAAATCAATTAGACTCTGTGCTGCTCACACACGGAGCCGACTCGTTGAGATAATGAATTCACTTTATTGCTGCGATAAGAGAGAAGGCGGTCACGCTGTGTTCCAGAGTTACTTCAGAGACAGACGTCCTAATGTGCGACTCACCGTCCTGTCTCTGGACTCAAACCTGAGAAAGACAAACCTGAAGCATCAGCGGGGACTTTGAAGATGACGTATGTGGGCGGGCCGAGGCCCATGATGGCGGTGCCCATGTTGTAGGTGTTGCCCTGGTCGTCGTAGTGAGGATGAGCCGTCGCCAAGTTCAGAGCGATGTGGTTTCTGTAGTTTATCTGGAAAGTGGCGAGATGGTTTTAATGACGTGCGATGAGTCTCGAAGAGCTTTCAGGCGTCAGGTGCGAGGAACTCACCCTGCCGACAGTTTCCAGAGTCACTGGGTCGATCTGGTTCATGTAGTTGACCTCGGAGGAGGCGTAGTAGTCCTGACCGTAACGGATGATGTTGATCAAGTTGTTGTCGGTGAAGTCGGGCATGACGTTGCAGAGGTGAGTGAACGCCCTGCAGGAAGAAGAAGGTCCTGATCGTTAAGGTCCAGAGTCGGGGTCTGGGTTTAGCCCAATGACCTGGAGACATATCGGACATGAATCTGTTGTGTCCTCGGTGGATTGAGACATGTATGATGCTGATGGACTGAAACTGATCTGGACACGTCCTGGATGAGACGTCTCATCTCTACGTGTCCTGGATTAACTGAGACAGGTTCTACATATCGGAACTACAACAGCTCTTGACAGACGGGATCTCCTGCTGGGACGGATCTTCTGTACCTGGAGAAGATGTTTTTGCAGGGATCTGGATAGATCATGGTTCCGAACTCGGAAACGACGATTCTGTCGGCCTTGATGTTTCTTTTGTAGGTGTCGCTCTTCAGAAACTTACTTCTGTAAGTTACTTCACCTGCAACAACCACGACAACGTGTGACGTCAGATCCCAGGTCAGCGTGGACGTTCTCATCTCAAACTCAAAGTAAGAATATGACATGTTATATATATATATGTGTTATATTCATAAAGATCCTGATGTAAACATCTGTCGCACCGTTGCTGAAGGTGAAGCTGTGGATGAGCGACAGGCCGTCGAACCAGTGGTTGTACTCGGAGCCGCCGACAGAGAAAAGTCCAGGTCCGTTCCTGAGCAGCGTCCCCTGCAGCCATGACGGGAGGGAACCTGTGGACACGCAGGTGTGCTGCTCTCAACACTCACTATGAAACAGTTCCGTTCTTTTATTATAGTAATTACTATTTCATATT